ATTTGGAGGGAGGGACCCTCCGTGGCTGTTCCATATCGGCCACATCTGGACGACGACGAAAGCTCAGGTAATCTGGGTGCAATCTACAAAGAGGGAGGAGTGGGGGAAGAAAAAAGGGTGGGTGGGTGAGAAATGGGAGAGAAATTGTGAGTCAAGGCACACAAAGGCAGGCTTTGGAGGCAGCCGGGCGCGCCGAACAAAGGCCTGTTTGTCAACCTCCGAGACGGGCGCGTATTTCTCCTCCCTCTGACCTCCGAGCATCACCACGTACCACTCGCTGCCGGGGGCCGTGCAGCTCTTCTCCACCCAGGCTTCCCCCACTGGTAGCCCTTCCGAACAACAGAGTTGGACGGCACTTTGGAGGTCATCTAGTCCAACCCCCTGCTCAGGCAGAAAACCCTATTCCATTTCAGACAAATGGCTGTCCAGTTTCTTCTTAAAAACCTCCAGTGTTGGAGCATTCACCGCTTCTGGAGGCAGGTTGTTCCACTGGTTAATTGTTCTCACTGTCAGGAAGTTTCTCTTTAGTTCTAGGTTGCTTCTCTCCTTGATGAGTTTCCATCCGTGGCTTCTTGTCCTGCCTTCAGGAGCTTTGGAGAAGAGCTTGACTCCCTCTTCTTTGGGGCAGCCCCTCAAATACTGGAATGTTGCTATCACGTCACCCCTTAGTCCTTCTTTTCTCTAGACACACCCAAATCCTGCAATTGTTCTTCCTATGTTTTGGCCTCCAGGCCTTGGATCCTCTTTGTTGCTCTTCTCTGAATTTTTTTCCAAACTCTCAACATCTTTTTTTGTGATGTGGTGACCAAAACTGGCTGCAGTATCCCAGGTGTGGCTTTACTAGGGTTTTACAAAGCGGTACTAATACCTCGTGTGATCTTGATTCTGTGCCTCTGTTTATGCAACCCAGGATTGTGTTAGGTTTTTTGGGTGCTGCCGCACACAGCTGTCTCAGGGTCAAGTGATCGTCCACTAGGACTCCAAGGTCCCTCTCACAGTTGCTGTGTTTGAACCAGGTCTCCCCCAATCAAGGAGAGAAGCAACCTAGAACTAAGGAGAAACTTCCTGACAGATAGAACAATTAACCAGTGGAACCACCTGCCTCCAGAAGCGGTGAATGCTCCAACACTGGAAGTTTTAAAGAAGAGACTGCACAGCCATTTGTCTGAAATGGAATAGGGTTTCCTGCCTGAGCAGGGGGTTGGACTAGATGATCTCCAAGATCCCTTCCAAATTTTATTCTGTTATTTTTTCCTTCCTTCCTTCCTTCCTTCCTTCCTTCCTCCCTCCCTCCCTCCCTCCCTCTCTCCTTCCCTCCCTCTCTCCTTCCCTCCCTCTCTCCTTCCCTCCCCCAACACTGTATGTTTTTAAGAAGAGACTGGACAGCCATTTGTTCTCAATGGTATAGGGTTCCCTGCCCGAGCAGGGGGTTGGACTTGATGACCTCCAAGGTCCCTTCCAACTTTATTATATTATTATTATTATTATTATTATTATTATTATTATTATTATTATTATTATTATTAATTATTATTATTATTATTATTATTATTATTCCAAAATGGTATAGGGTTCCCTGCCTGAGCAGGGGGTTGGACTTGATGACCTCCAAGGTCCCTTCCAACTTTATATTATTATTATTATTATTATTATTATTATTATTATTATTATTATTATTATTATTATTATTATTATTATTCCAAAATGGTATAGGGTTCCCTGCCCGAGCAGGGGGTTGGACTTGATGACCTCCAAGGTCCCTTCCAACTTTATTTTATTATTATTGTTATTATTATTATTATTATTATTATTACTATTATTATTATTATTATTATTCCAAAATGGTATAGGGTTCCCTGCCTGAGCAGGGGGTTGGACTTGATGACCTCCAAGGTCCCTTCCAACTTTTTTATTATTATTATTATTATTATTATTATTATTATTATTAGTATTATTATTATTATTAACCTGTGCTTGTACCTTTGATTTTTCCCTGCCTAAGTGTAAGACTTTGCTTTTCTCCACCTTGAAACTCATTCTGTTGGACGGGGCCCACCTTAACGTTCTCATTCCAGGCGCTTGGATCCTCCCCTTTAAAGCTCGGATCCTCCCCATCATCCACTCCCCTCCCTCCCATCCTGAACCCGGGATTAGTCACCCTTCAGGATCTCCACCCAGTTTTGCCTCTTCTGTCCTCCCAACAGATGCCAAACGCCTGCAAATCAGATCTGCCTGCCAGTTTCCAATGCCAGGTCTCAGGAGAAGCCCCCTCCCCAACCCCCCCCCTCTTTGTTCCCGGGCCGAGGGGTCACCCCCCACTTTTAAAGCCCTTGGCCAAGTCAGGAACCTGGCCCCACTGCCAGGGATTTAGACCTCGGGCCAAGCCAGAGAATAAGGTTTGTTTGATTAAGGCGCCGCGCGAATCCACCCACGCCGGCTTGTGGCATAACAACACAACAAAACCAACCGGCTTTGCCAAGTTGATGCAATAAACACGGTTAAGCAAACCACAGCTTAGGTGAGGGTCTGTTTTTCTTTCACCGCTGCGTCCAGAAGCGGTGAATGCTCCAACACTGGAGGTTTTTAAGAAGAGACTGGACAGCCATTTGTCCGAAATGGTATAGGGTTTCCTGCCTGAGCAGGGGGTTGGACTAGACGACCTCCAAGGTCCCTTCTGAATCTTACTCTCCTTCCTTCCTTCCTTCCTTCTTCCCTCCCTCCCTCCCTCCCTTCTCCAACACTGGAAGTTTTTAAGAAGAGACTGGACAGCCCTTTGTCTGAAATGGTATATAGGGTTTCCTGCCTGAGCAGGGGGTTGGACTAGATGACCTTCAAGGTCCCTTCCAACTTTACTATTATTATTATTATTATTATTATTATTATTATTATTATTATTATTATTAAGTGTCCGGGCTTCTGAGTTGCACACCTTGACTCAACAACCACAGTTTGCACCCCCCCAAGATTTCTGTTGCTAAGCGGTTAAATGAGTTTCGCCTCGTTTTACGACCCTTTCTGGCCCCCGTTGGGCAAACGGACCCCTGCGGTCGTTAAGCGAGTCACCCGGTTGTTGAGTGAAGCGGGCTTCCCCGCCGAGTTTGCTTGTCAGAGGAGGGGATCCGGTGGAACCCCCCCATGGGACGCTGCCACGAATACGATCACGTGACCACGGGCGATGCCGTAACGGTCGTAAGTGTGCAAAAACAGTCCTCCAGTCACGCTTTTCGGCGCCGTTCTAACGTCGGTCACTAAATGAGGAGTTGTAAGTTGAGAAGGACAGCGAGCTGCTTCCCGCCCCACTTTAGCGTCGGGCGGGGCCCCGGGTGGGTGGGGCAAGGAGCACCCGGGGTCCATGACCTCGTGGCGCAAAACACACAATCCGTGTGTCCCCTACCTGGTGACGTCGTCGTCGCTTATTTTGGATAAAGAACAGAATGCAGGCAGTCCTCGCATTACGACCACAACCGAGCCCAAACTTTCTGTCATTAAGCCAGATATTTGTTATAGCCCGTTTTGTGACTTTTTTTCTCCCAGGCGTTAAATCCGTAACAACGCGGTTACGTGAATCTGGCTTCCGGATTGAATTTGCTTAGTCAGACGGTCCCAAAAGGGGAAATCACGTGATCCAGGGGGAACCCTGCGACCGTCGTAAATATGAGTCGGAGGTCAGGAACCTGAACTTTGATCACGTGACCCTGGGGATGCTTCAACGGTCGTAAGGGCGAAAAAAACGGTCCTAACTCACTTTTTTTCAGTGCCGTTGTAACTTGGAACGGTCACTAAATGAACTGTTGTAAGTCGAGGACTGCCTGCAACAGAGTTGGAAGGGACCTTGGAGGTCATCTAGTCCAACCCCCTGCTCGGGCAGGAGACCCTGTTCCATTTCAGAGAAGGGGCTGTCCAGTCTCTTCTTAGAGAGGGGGAGGAGGAGGAGGAAGAGGAGGAGGAATAACAGGATAACAGACTCAGAAGGGACCTTAGAGGTCATCTAGTCCAACCCCCTGCTCAGGCAGGAAACCCTGGACCATTTCAGACTAATATAATAATAATAATAATAATAATAATAATAATAATAATAATAATAATAATAATAATAATAACAACAACAAAAACAACAATAACAATAATAATAGAGTTGGAAGGGACCTTGGAGGTCATCTAGTCGAACCCCCTGTTCAGGCAGGGGACCCTGTACCATTTCAGACAAGTGGCTGTCCAGTCTCTTCTTCAAAACTTCCAGTGTTGGAGGAGGGAGGGATGGAGGGAGGGAGGGAGGGAGGGAGGAAGGAAGGAAGGAAGGAAGGAAGGAAGGAAGGAAGGAAAAAAAAGAATAACAGAATAACAGACTCGGAAGGGACCTTGGAGGTCATCTAGTCCAACCTCCTGCCCGGGCAGGAGACCCTGTTCCATTTCAGAGAAGGGGCTGTCCAGTCTCTTCTTAGAGAGGGGGAGGAGGAGGAGGAGGAGGAAGAAGAAGAATAACAGGATAACAGAATTGAAAGGGACCTTGGAGGTCTTCTAGTCTAGAGCCCCCCAATCTTTCCGGCTTGACGGCCCAGAAGGAAAGGGAGAAGCGGGTGTGTGTGGCCCTGCACGCGCAAGCACAAATGGGCACATGCACAATGGCAGCACTAGCGTGTGCACTCCTGTGCAAACGGGCCACTGGCGCCCACGTGACGCTGGCGCCAGTGCTAGCGTCCCAGCGCATGTGCAACTGGGGCTGCTAGCAGCTGCACAGCGGTGCTACCGCGAGTGGAGGGCCCTCGCCAGCTATTCCCGGTGCCCGGTGGCCAACAGGCCACGGCCCGGTACCGGGACACGGACCCCAAGTTGGGGACCCCTGTTCTAGTCCAACACCCTGTTTAGGCAGGAAACCTATACCATTTCAGACAAACAAACCCAGTACCGTTTCAGACAAACGTTCCTGCTTACCCTCTCGGCCCAACTGGAGAGAGTCGGCTGCCACGGGCTGCCTCTGCGCCAACATTGGGCTGAGCTATTCAGTGTCGCACAAAACGCAACGAGCGAGCGTTCAGGATATCGGCCGGGTCAGGGAAGACCGAATCCACTCGGAAGCCCTGGGCCAAGGCCACCTTCAACACCTCTTCCAGAAATTCGTTGGAGGATCGGATCTCTCGCCCGTCCACCCACAGCCGGCGCAGCTTCTGTTTGGCGTACTCCGCAGCTGGCAGAGCAGCCGGACATGGGGCCCACTCCAAGCAGAGGTGGTGGCACGTGGTGGCTTCCACGAGGGAGTTTTCCGATGAACCATCCGGCATCTCGTCATCCGTCTCCACATCTTCGTCCGTGGAGTCGCCCAGACAAATTCCCCGATCGCCGTTGGGAGACCAACACTTCCACCCTCCGGGTTCCCGGATGGCTTCCTGAGCTTTGGGAAGCACTGGTCCTCTCCGGGATGGGTCCGGCTTTCCATCAGGAGACCCTTCCTCCACATTCCCGTTGGCACAGTCAAGGTGGCCCAGGTATCTACGCAGAACGGCCAGAAAGTGCCTGTCCGTGCAGAAGACGTTAGCGGTGAAGATCTCCACGGTGCAAGAGCTGAGCTCGTAGTTCTGGGGTCCACGGCGCACGTTGAAATGCAGCCGGCGGGAGTTCAGGTCCACGTCGGCGTGGAGCACCGCGTTGCTCCGTTGGCGCCACCGCTCCGCCTCGACCCGCTGCAGCTGATGCAGAAGCGGACGGATCTGGTAGAAGTCGGCTTCGGCCCGCAGCAAGGAGAGCTCGGCGTAGCCCTCCGGAAGGTCCAGTCGGCCAAAACGGAGGAAATTCAGGACGTGGCGGAACGTCTTACCGTCGCGGTCGATGAAGTAGTTCCCGCAGCTGTCCAGGAGGGCCGGCTGGGGACCCCGGAACATGGCGCCCAGCATGGAGTCGGGGAACCGGGTCAGGGTCTCCAGGGTGGTGCTGTAGAGTTTCCCACCCACGTTCAGGGTCACCAGGGGTCCGGGCCGGCCTGGACCCTGGCAGGTGTCCGGCATCCTCACAAAGACACCTGTGGAGAGAAGAGGAGGGGCTGCGTTACTCGGGGTGTGCTTGCTGTTTTCAGAAGCTTCCTATTTAATCCTCTGAATTTTAATCATTTTGGACTTTCGTACTTTTTATTATATATATATACATTTAATATTATACATTTTATTATATATACATTTAATATATATTACATATTTATATTACTGTAGCGTTCGACTTATCACTACAATTCAGCCCCACATTTCCATTGGTAAGCAAGAATGTTAAATGAATTTAGCCCCGTTTTTACGACTTTTCCTGCCACCGTTGTTAAGAGAATCACTGCAGTTCTTAAGCGAGTAACGGGGGTTGTTAAATGAATCGGGCTTCCCCCACTGACTTTGCCCGTCAGATCGTCACAAAAGTGGGATCACGTGAACCCCGGGACGCTGTGACCCTCATAATTATGAACCCAGTTGCCGAGCATCCAAATTTTTGATCACGTGACCACGGGCATGCTGCGACGGTCGTTAAGTGTGGAAACTGGTTGTTAAGTCCCTTTTTTCAGCGCCGTTGTAACTCTGAACGGTCTCCAAACGAATGGTTGTAAAATCGAGGACTGCCTGTATTGTAAGCCATCCAGAGTCACTGTAACAGTGAGAGGGGTGGCATAATAATTTGAGATAGATAGATAGATAGATAGATAGATAGATAGATAGATAGATAGATAGATAGATAGATAGATAGATAGATAGATAGATAGATAGATAGATAGATGAGACATATATATGAGAGAGAGAGATAAAGATAGAGTGAGATAGAGAGACAGAGAGATATATAGACACACACACACACACAGAGAGAGAGAGAGATGATAGAGACAGAGACTGAGACAGACAAGAGAGAGAGAGAGAGAGAAAGATGAGAGACAGACAGACAGACGGGGAGAGAGACGGGGAGAGACAGAGAAATACAAAGATAGACACACACACACACACAGAGATGATAGACAGAGATTGAGACAGAGATGAGAGAGAGAGAGAGACAGACAGACACACACACACACAGAGAGAGAGAGAGAGAGAGAGAGAGAGAGAGAGAGAATGAGAGAAAGAAAGAGAATGAGAGAAAGAGAGAGAAAAGAGAGGAGAGAGACAGAGAGACAAGAGACAGAGAGATACAAAGATAGACACACAGAGAGATGATAGACAGAGACTGACAGAGGAGAGAGAGAGGGACAGAGAGAGACAGAGACAGAGAGAAAGAGAGAAAAAGAGAGAGAGGGGGGGGAGAGAAACAGAGAGAGACAGAGAGAAAGAGAGACAGACAGAAAAAGAGAGAGAGAGAGAAGAGAGAAAGAGAACAGAGACAGAAAAAGAGAGAGAAAGAGAGAGACAGACAGAGAGAGAGAGGGGGGGGGACAGAGAAAGACAGAGATGGGGAGAAACAGAAAAAGAGAGAGAGAGGAGAGAGAAGAGAGATAGAGAAAGAAAGAGAGACAGAGACAGAAAGAGAGAAAGAGAGAAAGAGAGAGATGAACAAACAAACAAAGTAACTTTCAGCACCGCCCGATTCTTTTCCCAAGGTAGGGAAAAAAAATCTTTGCACCTCCTCGCAAAAATCATTTCTGGATCACAAGCCAACGCTGGAAAGCAGATTACCTTCAACAAGGCATAGACCACATCCAGCTCAGACTGTCCTTTGAGTGGAAGGTCACCCATGAACTTCATCACAGCTGGGGGGGACACAAAAGAAACACACCCACACCCGTCAATTGGGGATTGTCTCTTCAACCACCCATGCCTTGGTTGGGTTCATATATCATCATAATCC